CCATTTCATGAGGAGCTTGAAGCAACATGCAGGTAGCTGGCTCTAACAGGAACATATGAGCAATGTTTATTCTTTACTGTATCAAGTATGCAGCATGAGTGGTTGGTGGTCACAGTGAGGTTCAGGGCCAGAGTTCCCATGTTGCCAAAATCTCTCACACAAGTCTTTAGACTTGGAAAGATATTGAGAAATTGATGACAATGGTGTCTACTTGGGGTTGCTATCTTGGCTTCAGCCATACTAGGTGATATGAAACTTTGTGATCCACAGATAGCTTCTGGAAAGTGCTTAGGGGCAGAAGAGTTCTGGAAAGTGCTTCGGGGCAGGAGAGTTACTTTTCTTATGGAACAGATCAGATTTGTGAATTTCTGTAACCTGAAGGTGATACTGAGAGACAGTGGGTTCCAATAGACATAGAATTAGTAGCAATGTCAAAATTGCCAGAGTCCGGGACCTAACTATGTCTCAAAACACCAAAGGAGCAGGAGTTTGGGGCCCACCAAATACGAGCACACATGAAAGGGTTCTCTGTCTTAAGTTAGGAGAAATAAACTAGCATCCACCTAAACCATTAAGACTGTACAAGCCAAGTTGGGGTGGACCATGGGGTGATTTCCAGTGACCTCTTTCTTCTTTGTTCGCCAATATAAGGAGACCAGGGATTTGGTGATGTTATCACAGCTGTATGACTCTGTTTTGTGGCCCCCATTTCCTCTTGCACTTTAGACACTTCCAGTGTGAGTTCTTGAGGATTGGAAATTTTCAGTCCAATATCTCAAGTCCTTCTAGTGCCTTGTAATACTTGTTAGCTTGCTGGTTTTCCTAATACCTAAGACACAAGCCAAAAGTTAGTAAGCCTAAATGGTGTTATCAAGTCCAAAGAACCTCAGAGAGCCTACTACGTAAAAAGGGCAAGTTAATGTCCAGTGAAAACAGTGGTGTTGTGGCTCAGTCATGCAGGCGCAAGTACATGAAACCACTTGACCTACAAACTTTGCCAGGCGGAGCTGTGGGTGACATAGAGCCAACATGAGTCTCAGCATGAGTGGCAGCTGATGGGGCACACCCAACTCTCATGTGCATCTCTCTACTCACAGGCCAGGCCCCAGCCAGCCCCATCAGAACCACACACACCGGGCAAGTGCGGGGCAGCCTCATCCATGTGAAGGATAGCAATGTGGGAGTGCACACCTTCCTGGGCATTCCCTTTGCCAAGCCACCTGTAGGACCACTGCGGTTTGCCCCTCCTGAGCCCCCTGAACCTTGGAGTGGTGTGAGGGATGCCACCTCCTACCCAGCCATGTAAGTTCTTGTGTGGTGAGAATCTCTGTGGTGGGATGGGCACCCCAGCCAGGGCTCAGTGTTGCTCCCATGTAAACCCCACAGTCCATTTCCTTCTGCATTGTGGAACTTCCCATGCCAAATTTTCCAATAAATTTCCTAAGATACATTCTGTGGAGCAACTTTCTAGGCTCATTTTTCTGGCTTTGCATATGAACAGTGCTAGTACCAGGTGCTATAGCACAAAGCTATACTTGTGCCATGACTTGGATCATGCCAATTGTTCTCTGCCATCTAGAAAGGCGTTTCTGGGACAGGTTCACCTGGGTTGTGTGGATAACACACAGCTCCTGGCTCAGCACAGATACTACAGCTCCCTGAGGAGGGCAGCAGTGGGGATTCCTTGGAGAAGCCAAGCTCCACAGTCACTGTGCCAACCCAAAGAGCCAGGTGCCACTGGCTGAGGAAAAGCCCATGTGCTTCCAACTGGAGATGGGTGGAAGGAATGTGATTCCTTCAGGGTCTGGATTTGGATTTCAGCAAAGTCACTCTACCCTGTGTAACTGAGTTTCATTCATTATTATGAATGGTGTGGTGGCAACCCAGCCAGGCTTTAATTGGCACAGAGAAAAAGTGTAAATATCAATCTTTGCAGCTGATGTTGCTAGGAGAATCTATGAGTCATATTTCCAAGGCCTAGAGGGACAGAAATCTAATGTTCACAAGAACATGAAGGCTTCAGGGAAGTTAGAGCTCCATGCTGGGAAGTTAGAGCTCCATGCTGGGATGTTCAGCTCTCCAGCTGAAAATTGGTTGGCAGAGGCATCAGAGAAGATTCTGTATAAACAGGGCACCAGTGCAGCAGGGGTTCACAGTGGCTGGATACAAATCTACCTTTAAGGTCAGATTTTTGACCCAGAGACAAATGATGGAATAATTGTCTACTATTTTAACCAGGTGTTTGCAAAATTCTGATCCTATGGTCAATGTCACAATACCACCAATCTCTATGTCTGAAGATTGCCTTTATCTCAACATCTATTCACCTACCAGTGCCCTGGAGGGCTCTAACCTGCCTGTGAGTATCAGGACTTGGCTGGCCTCGGTGGGAGGACATTTCTTCTGCAAGGCTCTTAGTAGTGACAAAGTCAGCCTGGGATCTCAGGTAGTGTGGAACCTCATGCAATCACGTTCCAAAAACCATTTACCGGGAAGGGTGATTCACCAAGGTAGGGGACACAGAGTCCTAACTGGTTCCAGATGTTAGAGGCCCTAGTTCTTTAGTCAAACAAGAACTCACTTTACAACTTGAGCCCAGAAGACTCAGTGAAGAGCCCAAGAGCTGAACTTTGAGATCACCCAACTTGAGGGGTACCTACTATGCCAATGCTAGGAAATAATCCGTTGGACCCATACTAAAGTGAGACAATCAGGAAAATGCTCCCTTTCTTTCCACATTAGGTGGACAAGAGAATAAGGACCAAATACTCCAGGCTTGTAGCTATTGATTCAGATTGGATGCCTGGAGTAGACCACAAGGATAGTGTTTGAACTTAGAGCTTCACCCAAAGACAAGTCCAGGAGGTCCTGAGGGAGTTCTTTCTATGTTGGACACTGCCCACAACCAAAGCCATGGACAGTGTCATGGACCCAGAGGTAGGACAGGTCTTGACTTGCAGCTGTCTTGACTTTCCCAGGTGATGGTGTGGATCCATGGTGGTGGACTGGTTACAGGTTTGGCTTCTATCAATGATGGATCCCGGCTGGCAGCCACTGAGGATGTGGTGGTGGTTATTATGCAATACCGCCTGGGAGTCCTGGGCTTCTTCAGGTGAGTGTGGGATTGAGTTGGGCAATGAATGCTAAGCAGAGCCAGGACAGCCCTGTGACCCTTGTCTCTGCCACTTTGCAGCACTGGAGACCAGCATGCCACTGGCAACTGGGGCTACCTGGACCAGGTGGCCGCCCTACGCTGGGTCCAACAGAATATCGCCCACTTTGGAGGCAACTCTGGCTGTGTCACCATTTTTGGCCAGTCTGCAGGTGGCACAAGTGTGTCCTCACATGTCGTGTCCCCCATGTCCCAAGGACTCTTCCATCGTGCCATCATGGAGAGTGGGGTGGCCCTGGCACCAGCCCTCATCTCCAGCTCCTCTGAACCAGTCCCCTCAGTGAGTGCCCTCAACGGCCCTGGTCCAGACTCCCTGCATTTCTGCTCACCCTCTGAGCTTTGGATTCACTGTGCTTGTGGGTCAAAAAGGACCATGGAGCTAACATGGGAACTACTTGGGAACTGCTGAGGGATCAGGGGTAGACTCCACAGAGGCTGAGGGTCATCTGTAACAAGCAAGTCTACTAATGTCCCCTGTGGGCATAACCATGCATTCAGAGCAGATAAATCCTCTGGGCAAAATCTATGAGCATGACAAAAGTGGGAACAATTTCATATCTACAGCAATCCACACCCTTAGAGATCTGGATGAACTTACAACAATCTGGGTCTGGGAAAATCTCTCTTGCTACTATGATGAGTAATATAGCCCCTGACTAATTTCTTTCCAGATGGTGGCCAACCTGTCTGCCTGTGAGCAGGTGGACTCAGAGGCCCTGGTCCACTGCCTGAGGGCCAAAAGTGAAGAGGAAATGCTGGCTATTACCAAGGTCAGGCTGAATGGTGTGGTGATAGGTTGTGAATCACCTAGTCCTGACATTCTGAATGAGTGACTCTAGTTTGTAACCCTGAATATAAAATGAAAACTGTCCGAGGCTAACTCAAGTGTTTGATGTCTTGGGATGTGTATGGGAGAGAATACTGGGAAGAACTGCGATAGGGTAGAAATAAAAAATGTAGTATTAGAAAATATGTAGTATGTGATCTCAAATTCTGATCATTGATGCGTTCTCAGACCTTCAGGATCATCCCTGGAGTGGTGGATGGCTTCTTCCTGCCCAGGCATCCAAAGGAGATGCTCATCTCTGCAGAATTCCACCCTGTCCTTAGTATCATAGGTGTCAACACTGATGAGTATTCCTGGGTCATCCCCAAGGTAAGGCTTTGTTCTAACTCATTAGTAGTCTAGGGAGCTCTTCTGCTATGAGTGTGAGTGGCAAGAGGTACAGGGTGGGACAGGATATAGTACTTTCTTAACCACACAATTCCACTCTTAAACTCTCTGCCCACCACTCAGGTCCTGGGACATCTTGACACCATAAAGGGAATAAATAAAAGCACGTTGCCAGCTGTTATGCAGAACATGGTAGGACACATGGTAAGGATCTGGACACCTGCACCAATGGATGGGAAACCACAAGGTATTGTTCACACAGTAACCTTCAGGATTACAGGATGATATATGAATGTGTTTGTGGCAGGGTTACACCAGAGCTTGGCTTTATCCACACTACGTTCCAAGTCCTATCTCCTCTCCCAGAGGCTGCCCCCTCCCTGCCACTGCACTCCTGCCTAGCCTGACTCTCTCTGATCCTCTTGGCACAGAACTTGCCTGCTGAGTGTGCCCACCTGCTGATGGAAGAGTACATGGGGGACACCGAGGACCCCCAGACCCTCCAAGCCCAGTTCCAAGACATGATGGGAGACTTCATGATTGTGATTCCTTCATTGCAAGTAGCACATTTTCAGAGTGAGTACATCTGTAGCTGAGCCTGACTGTGCAGTGGGCAACTCAGGGCTGTGCATCCCAGCGCAGCTCTGTGATGTCCAAGTCCCCATCCTTGTGTCTCTTAAGGACCAAGAGCAAAGTACTTGAGGTTCCACATGTCAGTAAACTCTCATGGCCACAGTCTGGCACAGGCATCACAGGCACGTTACAGAAGAGGAAACTTAGATCTTCAGTTACTAGTCCAGGACCACACAGATAGGAAACTCAAGCCATGATTTAATGATAGCTTTTCCCATTGGGGTCACCAGGAAGATGGCAGGGATATACAATTCTTGGCCTCAAAGCCCATCCTAGAAATCAGAGAATGTATCACTGACTGCCTGTGGTTTCTCACTTCACACTCCAGATTCCAGCCAGCTTCAGCCTAGCTATTTATCATCAAAGGTGAGGAAGGACAACTCCAATTGAGGGATCACCATGTCCGAATTTGTCTACACTTGCAGGTTCCCATGCCCCTGTCTACTTCTATGAGTTCCAACATCGTAAGAACTTGACCTCAAAACCCAGGGCCCCACATGTGAGGGCCGATCATGGAGATGAGGTTGTCTTTGTCTTCGGATCTTCCTTGTATGGCAGCAACCGTGAGTGCTCTTCATTTCCATAAGCTAGAATGGGACACACTATGATACCTGTAGGTTGATTCTCCTCATGGTCTATGTAAGGAAGCTCAAGCTCAGAGACAGGCCAAGATCAAGTGTACAAAATCTTACCATTCAAAAAGCTTCAAGTGTTTGGAATTCAAGCCTTTCCCCAAACAACCTTTGCTCCCAACACCTGTCCCCACCTGCAATAAGATGTCAGACATAAGTACAGAATGCATACTTAGAAGTTATGATTGTCCCTAAATGATTGCCAGGGATTGGCAAGGAAGTCCAAGTGCTCTCCAGTCCAGGAATACACACAAGTGTATTCAGCTAGAGACAGGATGAAGAATGGAAGGTTGTGCAATGAGAATGCCTGATCTTGGGTGGGGCAGAGGGAAAGGAGCAGGCCAGGTATGGAGAATCAGACCACAGTTGCAAGAAGGGTGTAGAGTAGAAGTAGACACCTTACACTCGCCAGTCCTGGACCCTTATTCTCTGTGCAGCTGACTTTTCTGAGGAAGAGGAACTACTGAACAGGAGGATGATGAAGTACTGGGCCAACTTTGCCCGCAATGGGTAAGATAATTCACCTAACCCTGCCTCCCCAGAATGGGGTCCACCTAGTGGATGCCCTTGTGGCATCCTCATGAGCACTCATGAGCCTTAATTACACGACCTTTCTCTCTCTATCTCAAACTCCAGGACTCACTCACATACAGACTGCTTTATAAGGTCAAGTCCCTCTCTTCTGCCCCTGAGACCTGAAAATATGACCACAGTTCTGTGGAAACATCAGCACTCACCTCTATGAGGTGGCTCTGATCCATAAGGAACAGACACCAGGGCGAGGGCCTTGTTTTCCCTCATTCCCTCCACTCCTGATTTTTGGGCTGCCTGTCAGGGTCCTAATGAGGTGATTGGGTTCAGGCTCACAAGGACTCAGAATGACCCTCACCCTTCCTCCTGGGAGGGTGTGTCCACAGGAACCCCAACAGCAAGGACCTGCTCCATTGGCCCCTATTTGACCAGAATGAGCAGTACCTACAACTGGGCATCCATCCTGCTGTGGGCCAGGCGCTGAAGGCCTCTAGGCTGAAGTTCTGGACCAAGACCCTGCCCCAGAAGATCCAGGAGTTCAACAGGGCTAAATAGAATCTCCTGCAGTTGTAATGGTCTATGTCAGGAAGAGTGGGCTTGAGCTCAGGTAGGGTCAGCAGGAGGTGCTCAGGTGTTCATCTTCTGTTTATCCAGCCAGCCAGCCACCCAAGGAGACCATACTTATGAACAACTGCCTGCATGATATTCATGACCCACTTGCCTGAGCACACTCTTGTTAGACACACTCAATAAATGCCACCAGGCAATGAAACAATATTACTCCAGTGGTGCGTACTGTGCTCCAGGCTCCATTGAGTCTGGGCCCCTTCCTTACTCATGTCATCCTCTCAACTTCTGTCTGCTCCAAGTCCCTAGGCCCCATTCAAATGAAGATGGTCTGAATACTTTACTCCTAGCATGGGTCAAAATCACATGTGGAACCTTCAGCAAGTTCCAATTTTTAACTTCTAAGTAGTCAACAGTTAAACCAATTTCATTTCTAAGTATCTCTAACACACACATACACACACACACACAAACACACACACACACACACACACACACTGAGTCATGTGCAGAAAATCCTTTGTTATGGATTAGTTTACATGCAATTAAATTAACCCACATTGACTCCCAAAGTAATTCCTTTAAGCTCTTTACAGTTAATTACTTCCTCTTACTCAGCATTTCGCGAACACCTGGTTGTGTTTGCTTGTTTTCTATTCCAGTTCTGGGACTTGAACTCAAGGCATTGCTAGCTCTCTTGGCTTTTTCTACACAATAACCTCTACTTCTGGCATTCTTCCTGGTCAACTGAACTTAAGAGTCTTACAAACTTTTCTACCTGGGCTGGTTTTGAACCTTGATCTTCATATCTCAGCTTCCTGAGTTGGTAGGTTACAGGCAAGAGCCACTACTACCTGGCCCAATTGGTTTTAGTTGGTATTGAGATTAGGTATAATTTGGGAAAATAATAGTGCAATGGAGCATAACATACCAACTGAATTATTTGTGGCTTATAGTCAGTATAATTAATGCTTTTAGGATCAAGTTTACATCCTTTCTTTTATTCAAGAGTGATTTCTATGAAGGCACACACCATTTTTAACCAGAACAACTAGGTACACATCTGAGTATGAGACATTATTTGCTCTGTGTGTGTGTGTGTGTGTGTGTGTGTGTGTGTGTGTGTGTGTGTGTGTGTTTTCTCTCTTTTCTTGGTACTGGGGATTGAATCCAGAACGTTGTACTTGCTTATGAAGTGATTTGCTACTGAGCTACATCCCAGCCTTCTTCGCTATTTGTAATCTAGTTGTTTAGGACACTTTCAAACCTAACATTATGAAAACAAATACTTTCATTCCCATTGGATTCTAGTCCAGGATTTTGATTGTCTAATTGGAGATAAAAATATTAGCTGGGATGGCTTTGACCCAAGATCCTCAAGTTTTTGCTTCCTGAAATGCTAAGATTACAGGTATAAGCCACTGACACCAGGCTTTTGTCTTTCTTGCTTGCTTTCTCTCTTTGGTTGTCTCTCTGTGTCTATATCTATGTCTGTTTGCCTCTCTGTTTGTATCTGTCTCCCTTTTTCCCTCTGTCTCATTCTCTCTTTGACTTGGTCTTTCTATTCTGTCTCTGTGGCCCTGTCTTTGTTCAGATCACTAGGGATATCTAAGTTTTATCAACTTCTCAAACATACAGAAATGTTTCATAAATCCTTTCATTCCATGTTTTTATTATTAACAAGGTTATTGTGGATGCCAGGCTCTCTGAATGATGGTGCAGGAAGTGACAGGGCATCCCGTATCTTCAGCCTTGCAGTGGGCACCACAGCCATGGTATTAAGAAGAAGACTTGTGATTTCCAGTGAAATTCACAGAACTTGTTGCTGAGCCCTGAACATCAAGGACCTGTATACACCCTCAGATCCCCAGCCCATGGGCTGGGAGTTTAGGAGTTTAGGAGAATGAAGATCAGAGAGAGCTGTTGAATCTGAGCAGCCAAATGTCCTTTCCCTGAGAATCTAGACCACTGCTTGGGTTTACACACACTCCAGCCTCAATTTCTCCCCTTGTCCACTGTATCCCATTTGGCTGGTGACAGACCAGGACATTGAGCTATCACCCCCTGCGTCATTCCCTCCCTTCTTCAGCTGTGCCCCAGTTTGCATAATATCCATATCTCACTATTAGTTACAGTCTGATCAACCTCTACCAGAATGCATGGGTTGAGCCATGCGCTGGTGGCCTGTACCTAACTCTTAAGAGACTGAGAATTGAGGATTGCAGTTTGTAGCCAGTCTCTTCAGGAAAGTCCATAAGATTCTTCCCTCCAGTTAAGAAGGAAAAAGCTGGCAATAGAACTTTAGCTCCAGTAGAGTGCAGCACTAGCCTTGAGTGAATAAGCTAAGGGATAGATCTCAGGCCCTGAATTCACACTCTAGTACCAACACACACACACACACACACACACACACACACACACACAAAACAGGGGCAGAAGCACAACATCAGTTACTCTTGTCTGACTTCACTGCATTAGTCTAGCACTCCCATGAACACACTACAAAACCCTAGCCTATAAGCAGGAGTGAATCATTAAGCTCTGGCTACTGGCTCTGCAATATACACATGCTGTTAGTGATCCATCTCTTTGTCTATTCTCCAAACTGTGAGTCTGTGAGTCTACAAAGAGCATCTGCCCAGGTCTGGGTAGAAGGCTCTGGGACAATGTTCTGGGGCTCAGTTCCTGAGACTGGAGATCTTGAGTGTGCAGCAGACCTTGTGGCTGGAATGGAGGTCAGAGGATCTTTAGCAAGTCTTGCCAAGGGAAATGAGCCCACCAGGAAAGGTACCAAGAACGAAAGCCAGTGGTGCCAGACTGTAGGTTCCCAAGAGAAATGTGCACCAGATTGAAGAGTCAAAGCTCTTTTTCACTCTCACCAGCTCCTCTGGGAAGTCAGGCTGGGCTGCAGCTCCTGGCCCCTGCTGTCTCAATGAATCCTAGCAGGATCTATGTGTTTCACAAACTCTCGATTACGGAGCCAGCTCCAAGATCACCAGAGGCCCAGAGAGCCTGTTCTCCTCACAGTGCTGCAACCAGCAAGTTCTCTTTAACTGGTTTTCAAGTAGATAAATGATTTCCCTTGATCTCAGCCACCAGCGTAGCCCCAGATTGGAGATGGGTGAATAGGGAAGTGGGTCCTTCAGAAATGCCACAGTGACAAGCATGTTTGAATGGTTAGTCATTTTTAAACAGGAACGGATCCATGAAACCCCTCAGATCAAGACTCTGAGTGATGAGGAACCTTGAGGGAAAATTGGTAATCATTTAACAATGAGTTAAAGAGGAATTTCAAAATGAGCATAGTCATAGCTCCCTGTCTCTGCTCAAGTACTCACCTTTGCCCCTGTGAGGTGGGGGCATTGTGCATACACTGTGGGATCCTGAGCAAGCTTCTCTGCAGACCAGCCCTGAATTTCTCCATTACAACCTTCACCACACTGACAGTTCCCAATATCTCAAGGGCTGCAGAAGTTACATAGCACATCTGAAGGATGACAAAGGGAATATTAGAGAAGAGAAAGGCTCTGAAACAGTGGACTAACCACTGACTTCCGGTGACCATGCCCCATTAGTGTCCCTCTCTTGCAGGAACAACCTTGCCCAGCCTCTCCTATGTCCCCGCCTACTCGCTGTCAGGTCCAAACTCCTGGCTGGGTAAGGTCTAGGTGAATTGTGCCTGTTGGTGAGGTGCAGTGTGCTGCATAGAGGCACAGAAAGAGCCCTGTGAGTCAGCCATGCTGCTGGACCAACTTGCTGCTGGGATGATTGCAGTGGTCTATGGATTCCTGCTTCTTCCACTCCTGATCCAGGGTGAGATTCCTGCCATGGGGAGGGAAAAAGGCACCAGGATGAGATCTGTCACATGGTGTAGAGCAGAGTTTGAGTTTGGGAAAGAAAAGGAAAAAGGGGGTGGGGGGAGGGGGAGACAAGGATTGGGACTGGGAGGGGAGAGGGGAGGCTGAGAAGAGATGTGAAGGGTAAACAAAGGAGGAGGCTGCAATGCTTGGTAAGAAATGTACGCATTATCCTGCCCATGTAATTGTAACCCCTCTGTATAGTATATTCACAAATAAAATAAAATAAAAAATAAAAAAACAAAAAGAAAAAGAAAAGGAAAAAGGGCAGGTGGAGATGACCGATAATAGTGTTGGATAATTGTACTATTTAAGCATTCAAAAATGCTCACAGTGGTGATCAGATAGCTCAGAGAGGCTCACAGATGCTTGAGGATACAGAAGAGTGAGCCCCAAATGGAAGAGTCTGAGGTCCACTGACATGTGCCAGGCAGAGTCAGGGATTCTGGCCATTTCCCTCCTCTGTGTGTAGGAGCAGTTACAGCTGTAACTGCTACTGACTCTGCTGTCACTCACACTATCCTCTGTTTCATCCCCAGAGAAGCTTCCTGGCAT